AGCTACCGGCACCTGCCAAAATTGCCACATTAAAAAAAAAAAAATCAGATCTAGAGTAGCCGATTCCTTTGTAGCCTAATTCCATTTAAAAAGGGAATTTTTTTTTTTTTTTTTGGGTCCGGTCGTGGGGCCTGAACTCTGGGCCTGGGCGCTGTCCCTCAGCTCTTCAGCTCAAGGCTAAGGCTCTACCACTTGAGCCACAGTGCCACTTCCGGCTTTTTTTCTTTTTGCTTATGTGGTGCTGGGAATCAAACCCAGGGCCTCAGGCATGCAAGGCAAGCGCTCAACCACTGAGCCACCTTCCCAGCCCTAAAAAGGGAATTTTGAAAGCGTGACCAAACTTCCCCCTGCAAGCACAAACAAAGCCAGGTAGCTGGACAAGAATCAGAAAACCCTGGATTGTGTAATCACCGTGCAGAGATTGGCACTCCGGGGTCCGGCCAACACGGGGGTGAGCCGTGATGGAATCTCCCGGAAAATGTCGGAGGCAGAGTTCTCGGTAAAGTTGAATTCTCATTTTAATGGTTTCGGGACCGCTTTTTACCCAAACTTGAGCCAGGCAAGGATCAATAACTGCAATTTTAACCGGGCTGACAAGCCACCTCTACCTGACTCTCTCCTGAACGATTTTATGTTCCTGCCGTGTCTTGCCCGGCTATTTATCTCATATTTAATTAAAGTCGCCTCTCAAGTGTGGCCCAGAAAGAAAGCCGACACCATCCTTATGAATAGACGGACGCGTCGCTTTCCATCCAAAGAGCATCAACCGGACGGAACCACGGCGAATTCTAGCTAGCGCTGACCGCCGCGGGAGGGACCCGCAGGGGTCTCTTCCCTGTGTCAGCAGGACGAGGCGCGAGTTGAGGGAATGACTGACCAAGCGGAGACCCGTTCACTGACGCCATCAAGCAGAGCAAGAGAGAAAGGCAAAGAGCCCCATTTCCTCCGCATTCTTGAAGGTCATGGCTTTCTCGACACCCCCAAACCATGCTACGTACGTAAGGTGTTACCGTACTCGGGGAGACCCCGGGGTAGGATACAGTGCCATAAACGAATCAGAGAAGCGTCTCTCCCTAGAGCGACGGAGCTGGAGACGCCATCGCGGCCCTGCGGGAGCTCCTGCCGCCCGGCGGCCCCCCGGCCTCCCCGGCTCCCAGCCTGACTGCTCCCGCCCCGTGGATTTCCCCGTGACAACCGGGTCGCGTGCTGTGTGTGACTTGGGGGCGAGAAACTTGGGGCGAGACGTGGCCACTCACTGTCAGGACTGGCTAGCGTCACACAGAGAAAGAAAGAGGAAAGCAGACGCTGTTTGTCTTGCTGGGGAAAGGGCGCAGGTGGGTCTGTGTATCTATGTCTTTAGATGTGGCAAAACCAAGCTCAGGGCTGCATCCAGTTTATCAACTGACTGATTCAAGGGTTGGTTCTGAGACTCCCTTGTGGGATATGGAGATAAAGACAGTGGTTGGCTCTGTGTGTGTGTGTGTGTGTGTGTGTGTGTGCACGCACAACGATCAAAGCGGTTTCTAAAGAAAAGCAGCAGGAACCAGATGCAGGAATCAAGACCGACAAAGGGATGGAAGGCCAGGGCAGTGACCCAGAGAGAAGGCCACCATTTTCTGCAGCCCTGATTCCGAGGTCTTTGTCGGTCTCTTCCTGTGCATCTTTAGTGCGACTACAGACCCGTAGAGCACGGGACCCCTATAGCACCGGACAGACCCCGATAGCAACGGGATCCGTACAGCGTTGGATCCCTGATCCCAGTGAGGAAGGAGAGGACCTTGGAATGTGTCCCCTGCGGGCGGGCGGGCGGGCGGGCAGAGGGGAGGGGGAGAGGCGCAGAACAATGGCAGCAGAAAGGGGGTGGCGGTGGGTGAGGACGGTGCGTGGACGGGATGCAAGGGACGGACGGATTCGATCAGAGACAGAGCGGGGACAGCGCGGGGGGGGGGGGGGAGCAGCACACTCTGGACCCCGGGGGCCGCGCCGGCCTCCGTCTGCTCCGTCGTAGCTTTTTTATGTTTCTTTTAAATTTCCATTTATTTTTGTCGGCCGTGGGTCTTGAACTCTGAGCCTGGGCGCTGTCCTTCAGCGGGCGCTTTACCACTTGAGCCACAGCGCCACTTCTGGTTTTCTAGTGATTTATGGGAGATTAGAGTCTCCCGGACTTTCCTGCCCGGGCTGGCTTTGAACCGCGATCCTCAGATCTCAGCCTCCTGAGGAGCTGGGATGGCAGGCGTGAGCCACCGGTGCCTGACTTTATTTTTCTTTTCTTTTCCTTTTGTTCTTCCGGTGGCCAGGATGGAATAAAGGGCGGGGGGGGGGCCCGGCCTCCGCCCCGCCGGGCAGGGGTGGCGGGAGGGGCCGGGGAGCAGTTCCAGAGTGTGTTGGGCGTCCCCCGCCCTCCGAGCCGGAGCACACAAATGTCACATCCCCATGAGACAGCCCAGAGGGACAGAACACGGGTCCCAGGCCCCCCCCACCACGCATGTCCTACCCCGGGGGGGCTCACACACATGTGACATCGCTTCGAGCACCCACGCCGGTGGGAGAGGAAGCGAGGGAGCACAGGTCGGCTCAGGTGAGGGGACCGTGGGGGGCATCAGAAAAGGCACGGGACTTTTCCAACCGAGCAAGCCCCCCCCCCCCCCCCCCGCCAGTCACCAGGCTCGGCCAGGAAGAGAACAGAGGGCGGGAACAAATCACGGACAGGGACCGCGAAGATCATTCAGAGCAGAGGGGACGAAAACAACCAAACAAAATCAAAATCACAGCACAAAGGGAACCGGTGAAGGAGAGGAAGATCACAGTGAGGGGAACATTCAGGGCGCTCGCTGCATTTCCACGCCGCTGCTCACAGGCGTTGCCCCCTCCTCCGTCCGTCCGCCCGGCGATCGGACTCGCCACTCCGGTCCGACGGGGCAAGGCCAGGAGCCGGAAGCGCGGGCAGTGATCATGTGAAAACACGCATGCGTTGCTCTGCCACCATTGCCTGGCTATGTGAACACTGCTTCCAGCGCCGGCCACGCGCTCCTAAGACCACCGGGGACACGCCCCGCCCCGCTGGCCACCAGCTAGCCAAGCCATGACCCCCAGGGGCGGGGGTGCGGGGGGCCCCCGGGAACCCAGGCCGCCTCTCTCGACAGAGTCGAGAGAGACAATCGGGACATTTGGCTGATGGATCTGACGTGTTCCTAGAAAGGCTGTCTTTCTAGAAAACTCTGCTTGGACGCACAGAGAAGGTGCTATTTCTTTCTTCTCGTGAGGACCCACGCCGGGCTCAGCAGAGGCCACACAGCACACGTAAGGACACTCTGGAACTTGGGGTACAGCCCCGGGATTTCCCCTCCCAGCACTAAAGAGAGCTGAAGAGATCACATCGACTTCTTATTTTCTTTGCTCCCTTGACATCGGCATAGGGCAGGGCAGGGGGAGAAACTGGAGTCTACAGAAGAATAAGGGTACCAGAGGAGGAAGATGCGGGGTGCTGGGGGGGCATCTGGGTCCAGGAAGCAAAAAGAAGCTCAGGGGCATTGCACACACACACGCACGCACGCACACACACACACTCACGAGCAGTATACACAAACACACCATTTTACACACACACACGCATGCACACACACACTCATGAGCAGTATACACACAGCATTTTACACACACACACGGCATTTTACATACATACACACACAGCATTTTACACACACACACACGGTATTTTGCATACATACACACACAGCATTTTACACACACACACACGGTATTTTGCATACATACACACACAGCATTTTACACACACACACACGGCATTTTACATACATATACACACAGCATTTTACACACACACACACGGTATTTTACATACATACACACACAGCATTTTACACACACACGCACGCACGCACACACACACTCATGAGCAGTATACACACACAGCATTTTACACACACGCACACAACACGACATTTTACATACATACACACACGCATGCATACACACATGACATTTTACACACACACACACACACACACAGCATTTTAATGCTTTTTAGTGCATGAGAGCCTGCCTGGAAAGTATTTTATCAAAATAAAGTTAAAAAAATGTATGTAGCAAACAGGAAAGCCACGCCAGGGTGCCTTCCCAGCCTGGGCCCACGGGCCTCTTGAGAACATACAGAGGAAACCGCTCTGGATGGGCGGCCGGCTGAGCCACATAAGCGGGCTTTTGAGCCTCTGGTTTACAAGGCCGGCTTTCGGACAAGCGAAGGCCTCTTCGCTTGCAGCTGCAGCTGAAGTAGGAAGGATCACGGCAAGCCGCCGACGGGGAGAGGAGGAGAGGACATTTCCTGTCTGCGGCCGGGCAGAGAGCGCCAGGGGGATGGAGGGGGGGGCGCCTCACAGTGGGGTCTCTTTGATTCTGCCTGGCTTCCTTTCCTGTCCGGGGCAAATGCGCAGCAAATTCTGCTCGATCAAATAACATATTTTTTGTTTGAGCTGTTGGCCTCAGCGGGGATAATTACAGACGCAGGGCTGCATTCAAATTCAACCCCACGCAAGATGGGGTAGAAGAAACAGCCGAAGAGAAAAGCCAAGGGAAAAAGCAGCGGCCGCCTGCCCTGCGATTCCTCAGTTCCCTGATGGATGGCTTCTTGCTTTGATTGCGTTTGCTCGCCGGTGCCCACACCCTGCATTCTGTGGCATGGTGGGCGGGCAGTCCCCCCCTAACTACACCCCCCCCAAATCTCAGCGTTGGGGAGGGGTGGACAGGGGCCAGAGTCCGCCTCGGACCCCTGCGTGGAGAATGTTCCAGGGGGTGCTGTTATTTGTGATGTGTGGCTTCTCTGTGGCCCGGCGTGGTTGGAGCCTGGGGCTGTGGCTGTGGCGTTTCGTGGCTGGGGGGGGCAGCTGGAAGCAGTCACATACTCTCTGCTCTTTCCTCCCTCCCCTTCCCCCCCCACTCCGTCCCCTCCCCCTGCCGCCCAGGGGACGGTCCCAAGGCCTTACCCTTCCTGTCCTGGTGATTGTGAGAGGACACCGCCCCCAGGGGGTCTGAGCTGCCCGGTAACGCCGGCGAGTCCTTCCAGTCCAGCACGCCTCCCCTAGACTCGAACCCCTCTCGACCTGCCGCCGAGCCCGACGAGGTGGTGCTGGGCCAGAGGGGGCTGGTGCGCCCTGTTTTCCATCACAAATACGGTTAGGGACAAACAGCCTGCGTCTCCCAGGGCGGGAAGCCTGTCAGCTAACGGGGAGACGGGTTGTCGAGGTGTGCAATTGGCCAGTGGCGGGGTAAGGCTGGAGGAACGGGCGCTTTGGGAAGATCTTGTGGGAGCACCCCACAACTCCAGCCTCACTCAGGGGTTCCGTGGACGTGATAAAGAAAACACTGGCCACGGGACAAAGGCACGCAAGGCCTCTCTGATCGTAATGACTACTGGAAGATGGGTTTCTCAGGAGGGGACTGAACATTTATCGCACAGGACAGGAGGTGTGCTTTAAAAGTAGCTTCTGTAGCCGGGCGCCGGTGGCTCACGCCTGCCATCCTAGCTATTCAGGAGGCTGAGATCTGAGGATCACGGTTCAAAGCCAGCCCAGGCAGGAAAGTCCGTGAGACTCTGATCTCCAAAGAACCACCAGAAAACCAGAAGTGGTGCTGTGGCTCAAGTGGTAGAGCGCTCGCCTTGAGTTGAATTGCTGAGGGACAGCACCCAGGCCCTGAGTTCAAGACCCATGACCGACCTGCCCTGGCAAAAAAAAAAAATCGCTTTTGTTTCTTTCCATTTTGCTCAGCAGAGAAAGCCAGCCCCGTGCTTGTGTTTCACTGGGCCTGGCACACTTGTGTGCCACAGAGTCGGTGTGCGTACGCAGGGCTCCGTGATCCCTGACACTGCCTTTTAAGTTGTTTTGCTGTTGAAAATAGCCCTGTATCCTGCTGCTAAAAACGTGTTCATTTGAGACTCAGAAATGCTTGTGTTTTTGTGTGTTTCTGCTTTTCACCTCTCATCGTGTCGGGCTGATAAGAGAGCCAGGGTCAGGAAAATCAGCCTGGGAAATGGGGAAACACAATTTTCTTTCTTTCTTTCTTTTTTGTTTACATTGAGGTCTAAAATATAACCTCCGTTTCCGCTCTTGGATTCAAGACAGCTTGAATGAAATAGACGGTCAGCCTATGGGAAAATCCAGGACCTAGCGTAAGAAAGTGATTAGAAATACAGGTTTGAAGGCAGAGAGGAGAAAAACACGGAGGGAGGTGGAGGAAAAACAAAACAAAACCCCCAAAGCACCGTGCCAAACCCTCCTGTCCGAGTAGCAAGAATTTCTTTTACCTGAATTGATGGACATTTTGAGTACTTTCCATTGAACTGTTTCAAGGGTGCAATTCTATGGTAATGCCAAAAGTATGGTTTAGGGAGAACATTTCTTAATATGGTAATCTAGGGGAAAGATGTGCCCGAGGGACACGTTTTCTGTAGAAAAATCTCCAGGCCCATATGCTGCAAATGCAAATACATGGAAAAGTCATGGGTAATGGAAAGCTACGGCTACGAGGGGAAATTAATGTGGGCCAGATGGTGGTTAGGTGGGAGAATGTCTTGCACAAATGTGAGAAATCAGTCTCTCCTCCCTACCGCTCAAGTGTTAGTGCCATACCCACCGCACTTTCTATATGTAAATCTAGAGAAACCATGCATCTCATTTACTCAAAAGGGGGAAAACAAATAACCCAGCACAGCGGGAGGTTAAATCAGAGGAAGGCGTACCTGATTCTCAAAAATCTTAGAGCCACCGTATTAAAAACAAACCGGTGGGCGCTGGTGGCTCACACCTGTCATCCTAGCTACTCGGGAGGCTGGGATCTGAGGATCGCGGTTCAAAGCCAGCCTGGGCAGGAAAGTCCATGAGACTCTTATCTCACCACCAGAAAACGGGAAGTGGTGCTGTGGCTGGGGTTGGTAGAGCGCTCGCCTGGAGTGAAATATCTCAGGGATGGTGGCCCCGGCCCAGAGTTGAAGCCCCATGACTGACAAAAAAATTAAAAAAACAACCCACACCATTACAGGACTAAGCATCGGTCCTTAATTTGAGATCAGAATGTGTATTAGAGCCTGTCTACACTTAAAAAAAGTTACAAAAAAAGTATTTATGCATCTTCTTATCACTTGCTTTTTCGAGGTGCTTTTGTTACTAGGCACTGCCTAAGAGACGGTAACAAAAACAGCACTGCTGAAGCGTGGCAGTCATTCTTGAGATGGTTTTGTCTATCAGGGTATGCCAACAGATTGATACACGCTCTGATAGGGAAAGCCACATCTCTTCAAGGGAACGAACATAGTATTGTTTTTTTTCCCTTCAGAAATAGAAGAAAAAGCAGACACATTGAAAAAGTTAACTTCAGTGCACCATGGTGTTTCTCTACATCTACGAGTCATGGCGGTTCTAAAGGTTAGCAACCTTCCCGTCTAATCTAGTAGCAATGATTGTAGCCAATTAGAGGTGACAAAGGAGACGCAAAATTGACACAGAGAGGAAGGCAGAAGGGACACAATCAGGGCCCAATTCACTAAAAGGGGTTCTTGCGTAGGTGGCCGGTGCTGCACTGAGCTTTTGCCAACGTACAGTCTGCACGGTGGATAGAAATGGTCCCATTACCTACCTGGGTTGGGTAGGTCGGGGTTTTAGGTTTGCTAGTCTAGGGGGTGTGCACTTCGACACAGACAGAAACAGTGCAGGTGTACTTTTGACTTTCCTGTCTGTGTTTGTGCTCAGAAAAAGAAAAAAAAAAAAAGCATTTGGTCCTTCCTCTAATGCTACAAATCCTGGGCCTATTACAAGAACCTGGTGTGAAGAAGGAAGACATCAATTAGTGAAATATCTTCAGGGCTTATTAACTGCAAGATAGCTCTTCCTGTAATAGTCAATATAGAATAATAATATCAATCAATCAATTCATCCACGCATCCTCATCTATCTATCTGTCTGTCGTCTGTCTATCTATCTATCTATCTATCCACCTATCAGTCTGCCTGCCTGCCTGTCTATCAATCTATCTATCTGTCTGTCTGTCTGCCTGCCTGCCTGTCTATCAATCTCTCTCTCTGTCTGTCTGCCTACCTGCCTGTCTATGTATGTATGTATGTATGTATGTATCTATCTATCTATCTACTTACCTACCTACCTACAAGTCTTCTATAGCTTTTAAGTACTACTTGGATGGTCCAGTAATCACCTAACCACGTCCCGAGAAGGACGGAGCCCCAGACGGACAGGATCATTATTAGCTGAAAGAGCTTTCACGCCTCTGGGGTTTCAACACAGACACCCATAGATGAGGAGCCGCGGGACGGATGGGCCCTGGCCTTTCAAGTGTTAAGATCGGAGGATGAATAACTGACTTCCCTTTGAAAAGGAAATCAGGCTCTTGGCTTGCAGAATGACTCCTGCCCCTGAAGACTTTCCCTGGGCTTAATTATTCCATCTATATGAAAGAATTCCCCGGGAGTTAAAAAATTAAGTCTCCGTACGGCTGATGAGCCTGCCGGTTCAATTCATTTCAGAGCCTGTGCTTCTCACTATCTGGTGGGGATGGTTCAATCCCAGCAGATCACTGCGCAGTTAGGATCCGGGGAAGGGCGGGCGCTGTAAGTGGGTTTTCTTTTCCCGAAGGCTCAGGTTAAGGTAGGTGCCATTGGCCTCCTGAGTAATTGTTTCCCCACCCTTGTCTGTGGTGTTGGGTGTTCTGGTTCGAATTGCAGATGAAGGGGTGTGAAAGGGGGTGAGTTCTGAGGGCTAGGTTTCGGGACCCCGCCTCGTGTCACCGTGTCCGCTGGGCACACCACACAGCCTCGGTTTATAAGACAATCTGGCTTCAAAGGGGCATTCTCCCTCACTCTCATAAATTACATCCAGCCGCCGGGCACCGCGGTAGCCATCTTGAAGCAGATCGATCGCCTTGTTTTCTCTCCTCTTTTCTTTAATCTCCCCCACTATTTTTTTTTAATTACCTGCCTCTCTGTTTAAAGACTGTCTCAAAACTGCTTTACTGCATCTCTTAAACGCTAAGCTTGTAGTTCTCACTGAAACGCAGAAGGTTAGGTTTGCCGGTAGAGATGTTTTTCCTGTCTCAGTCACAGGTTCATTGATCTTTTGGGGGGGGGCAGCACTCTGAGAGATGTAAAGGTACATGATGGATCAATCCTGTTTATCCATTTTCCAAAAGATGCTTGGATGTTCACCCACTCTGAGTGAGCTTAAATTTCAGGGGGCCGAGCCCGCCCTATATCGAAAAGATTGGCTTCAGAAGAACCGGTGCCGGCACCTTACGTAGATTTGATCTCTCGGAGGTATTTTACCCTGACAGGCGGGATAAATGCCCGGGTAGACTGTGTTCTCTATCTGCTGAGGAGCTACGGTCTCACCACTATAAACACGAGCCCCTCACTGGACAGGCTTTACCCACATTCAGTTTCTTCTCCCCCAAGAACTCATTAAATCTGTTCATTAAATTCCTAGACGTTGGCATTATTTCATGTCGGGTGGATTAAAAATTTAGGACTCAGTCTCCCGCGCGTCAACCTCTCTGACAAGGAGGGAGGTGTGTGACGCATCGCACAATCTAGACCTATAAATAATTTTAGTGAATTGGGACCCTGAACTCACAAAAAAAAAAAAAACCCATCCGGCCCGCAAGGTTTAGGAATGAAAGCTACAAGCTACCGCAGGGTTAAGTGAGTATCACATATGTGTATCAGTGGACTGACCATACACTGCGTTGTAAGACATTTCATGATCTGGTGGAGGAGTTGAAATGTCTATAAAAAAATAATGAGGATAAAAAAATTAATTAAAGAGGAACCTAGGGTTTGCAGAGAGGGAAAAGGATTAGCAAGAGAGGATTTCTCAGGTAGATTCCCACTGCTATTAAATGATGACAGTAGTAGCTTCCTTACCATTCAGGGCCACGAAGGAATCTGAAAGAGAAGAGGGAGGAGATGGTTACTTTACTGTTGGATGTTCGCTCTTCTGGACTGAGAGGGAATGAGCGATTGGATGTGTGCCACACGCAGTCCCCCTCCTGGGGAAGTACCTTCACGTTCCCGCTCGGAACCTAGGGTGCGTTACCCTCAGTCTGGTCCCACACCTCCTGCTCATTCTGCCCCACGAGGAGAGAATACCGCGAGTTTGCAGAGGAAACGGTCGCTGCTGAGACTCGGAGCCTGGCTTTATACAGAGGGGCGTGGCGGGTAGATGTCTCTTCCTTAGGGGTCTCTCTGGATGCACCCTCAGTCCCAGTCCCAGAGGAGATGACCAGACCCAAACACAACGAAAACTCCAAACCTACACACTGATTAGCACCCTGGCCCTGGATATAAAGGCTTCCTGAGACCCCTCTGTCTGAGGACCCCGAGCTTACTGGTACAGCGGACCCTTTTACAGACACGGGAAGTGTCTGTCCTCACATTCTTCCTGTGTTTGCTGATCCGATACCCAGTGAGTTCTCTATTTTCTACAGACATTTATACATAACACTAGATCATAGAAAGTATGATAAGAGCAACTTACAAGAATCAGCTAATAAGATAGCTGGGAACACACACACACACACACACACGCACGCACGCACATACGCACTCATGTACGCGCGCGCACACACACACACACACACACACCTCTGACACACAAATTATGGACCAGCAATGCTACACAAATGTGATAGAGACCCTGTAGCAGAACACCATCTCCTATGCTAATTTTCAATTTGTAAAAAAAAAAAAATGTGCATGTAAAAACACGACAGATTAGAATTTTCACAAGGTATGTTATCTGCAAGTAAAAACACAGGAGAGCAGGAATGTGGAGATAAGGCTGCCTATTTGCCTGTATGTGATCTCTCACAAAAAGAAAGAAAAATTCCAGGTGGAAAGGTAAAATGCCACCAAGTCTGAAATTTCAGCACTTGTGACTCAAAGACAGATTTTTCTTTCCTCATGATCTGCATTATAGAATCAACTATCAGAAGTCAGACAAGATTGCTTTCTTAGAAATTGCGTTTGGTACCATTTGAGTGCGAGTTTCTTGAAGTTTAACATATATAATGCTTTAAAAAAAATCATCACAAGCCAAACGTTTTCTGAGAACATTCTTTACATCAGCCTTCATAAAGCATTTTTAGAAGACAATTATCAATCGGGCCTGAGGACAAACGGACAGGATTTTGACAAGGGCTCTTTATACAAAGCTCTGACCAAAATGTCCCCATTTAAGAATGCTTGAAATTAACTCTGAGGTTAGTGTAAGCAGGTAATACTTATTACAAGGTTATTGAATCACTTTGTCCTCGTGGGTTATATCCGAACTATTTTCCAATCTCAAATGGTAATATGCACAAATCTAATTTGGAAAAATAATTACATTCACGAGTCGATATGTTCGAGAATAAAACAGTCCCACTCCATTAACAAAACTAGGGCGCGGTAATCAATCTTCTTGTTATTTGGCTACAATACAGTGTTACCGCACATTAAAAAAAAAACCAAAAACAGCAGAACTGTCATCATGTAATGGAAGTGCTGATATAGCTTGCTGTTTTGCTATAATTAATATGCGCCACAGCATCAGAATAATGGAACAGGTGTCAGAATAATACAAGAGCACTGTCAGGGCTGGTATCCATCCTCAGGCACCGTGGCCGTCCGGAGAGAAGGAGGTGATTTCCACCCCTAGTTCTGGTGTTGTCTGTATTCAGGCCCACACGTGGGAGAGACAGATAATACTGCTAGGCTGGTTGATAAAAGCATGTGTATCCAGAAGCAGACACAGATTAAAAATCTCGACTTACTATGACAGTCTCCCAGAGCATCTGTATTGCCGCGTTCGATGTCCTGCTCAAAAGCCAGTCTGCAAAAAAAAAAAAAAAGACAAAGACACCAATAGACACTGTAAGTTAATTCAGGTATTATTCAAACAGTTGATTGGTTTGAGGATTATTTATATCTCCCCTCCTTTTCAGTATCTTTCTCTGTGCTTTTGTGTGTGTGTGTGTGTGTGCGTGCGCACTGATACTGGGACTCGAACTCAGAGCCTGGGTACTGTCTCTCAGCTTTTTCTAGTCAAGGTGAGTGTTCTACCATGTGAGCTTTTTGGTGGTTCATTGAAAATAAAGTCTCTCAGCGCCTTTCCTGCCCGGGCTGGCTTTGAACCGCGATCCTCAGATATCAGCCTCCTGAGTAGCTGGGATGACTTTCTTCAACACTGAAAAAGTTCGAATGTTTAAACACACTCCTCATACATGCAGCAGAGAAGTCTGTGAACTAAAAAGCAGTCTCTGACTCTCTGCCTCCTCCTCTTTCACCCCTGGGCTCTCCCAGAAGCTTTTCTCTATTTTCCCCCAAGCAAGAACATGTCTACGCAGTGGATGCGTGGGGCAGCCGGAGGTGGCACGTGCCTCAGGAATCACTTCTGCCCGCTGCTGAGCCCTGCCCTAATCCTCGGCACGTTCCTCTTCATCTTACAGTCCACTCGCCCACCCGTGGCCTATGGAATCCTCACGCCTCTCACAAGCACGATTTCACTAATAGGCAACCCGCAGTGATCCACAGGGACTTGCCTTTTGGGAGAACATGCTGCTGCTTTGCACCCTTTGCGTCCTCAGAACGATCCCATTCTGGGAATACCACACACTCGGGTGAATACACTCGGGTGCACTCACACCCAACCCTGAGCGTATTTCCTTGTACATTTATAGAAGGCGTCCTAAGCTTCCACAGAGGAGAGAAAAAAAACGTGTGTGTGTGTGTGTCTTTTGTCTCTCTGGGCCTGACTTACTTCACGTCACATAATTTGGTATTTGTGTTGGCAGGGGAGGATTCCAGCAGTGGCGTTCCTTAGAAAAACAAGCGCACGGTCCAGCGAAATGAATGCCAGGAAGCTGGTGTTGGGCCTGTGCAGGGGCAGGGGAGATGACTGGACACAGAGCCGGTGTGGAGAACAGAGTCTGCGTCCTGTGCAACTAAGGAGAGGCGGGAGGCTGTGTTGGGAGGGGAATGAGGAAAGGAAAGAGGGCCACAGGGATCAGGATGCACTGAACCGACGTGTGGAAAGGCAACTCTTTGGTACGCCGACTTAAAAGATAACGAAGTGCAGAGCAAAAGAAAAACTCAGGGAAGCCGGGCGCCGGTGGCTCAGGCCTGTCATCCTAGCTACTCAGGAGGCTGAGATGTGAGGATCGTGATTCGAAGCCAGCCCGGGCAGGAAAGTCCATGAGACTCTTTATCTCCAATGAACCACCAGAAAACATCCAGAAGAGAACCGTGGTTTGTGTGGTAGAGCAACCAGCCTTGAGCAAAACCCCCAGACTGTCAGCGTATCAGTGTGCACATGTGCACGCACACACACACACACACACACACACACACACACACACGTTTCCAAATAATCCTGCTAGCTTTGCTTCCTCACTGAACTCAGAAAGAAGACAAAGCCTCCTCTTAGCTCCCTTGTGCATTGAGGTCCTTCCTCCTCCATCCCCAAGATTCCCAAGAGGAAGCCCGGAATATTCCAGCATTGTCAACAGCCCTACTTTGCAAGGCTGTTGGAATTAATATACCAGGGGTGTGCTAGGAACGCAGAGGAGAGCCGGCCATGCTGCTGCTTCCCGAGGCCCAGGTCCAGGCCGCAGCCCGGGGCGGGCGGGTGGAGGGTCTGTGAGCGCGGGGCCAGCGCAGGCCGCGCCCACCCCGCGTGGCCCTTACCTGCTGAACGGGGACAGCTGCCCGCAGGAGCCCGCCTCCCTCAGCCAGCCGCAGTACGGATCCCTGGAGGCGATGCAGGTTCTGCAGGAAGAGGAGGCCGGTGAGCCCCTCCGCCGGAGCCTCCTCCCAGCCGCTGCCTCTTCTGAGGAGCCCCGAATACATACTTTTTACACTTGCCGTGCCGCTCGCACCGGCCGAGAGGGACCTTTATCACGCAGGTGGAGAACGCGACGTACAGGGCGCTGCTGGCTCGGTCCAGCTGCATTCCCATGATCCTCTTGTCTTCTACCCCTTCGTAGCTGCACCTGGAGGTCAGACGCACTGGTGAATGCAGTAGACGCGGCACACATCCTGCGCGCACGCGCACAGACTCGCACGGGCACGCGCATATCGGCCAGGGCGGGAAATACAAGCAAGATGTGTTAACAAGGTTTTATTAAGCCGGGCGCCGGTGGCTCGCGCCTCTAAATCCTAGCTACTCAGGAGGCTGAGATGCGAGGATCACAGATCAAAAGCCAACCCAGGCAGGAAAGCCTGTGAGACTCTTACCTCCCATCAATGACCAAAAGAGTCAGAGGTGGAGTTGTGGCTCAAGCGGTAAGGGCGCCAGCCTTGAGTAAAAGCGGCTCAGGGACAGCACCCCAAGTCCTGAGTTCAAGGCGCCAAAATGGCACCAAAAACAAAATTAAATTTTTTTTCTTTAACAGACAGCATGAAAAAAAATCACTTAAACTCCACACGATGGTTTTTCTCTGTGTGCCCAGGGCCTGTAATAGTATCACAAATGATTACCAGGAAAGTCTGGCAGACTGCACTCACTTTTCTGGGTTGTAAACGCTCATCTCCTCCAGGAAAAGGCTATCATTCAGGAAGCCGCTATTTCCGATCCGAGCCAAGAATTTCAGGATGATTCCTTTCTCGGATCCCAAGAAGATCACAGTGTGGTTTTGGTAAGGCCCGGCGCCCGTGTCCACGGCGATTTTGGTCAGGCGGTATCTAAAATGACAGGGTCGCCTCGTTGGTTGGCTTTTGGGTTTTGTCTTTTTTTAAACGTCCTCGCTGGTCTCTCATGACGGGGGGGGGGCCGTTTTCCACTTCACACAGTTGTGTGAGACAGCGCTTTCTAGTAATAATCTCAAGGAGAATATGCGCAGGGAAATAGAATACTTTCGGTCTGTGCAACCCTGGATGCAGATCCAGATGCAGCCTGTGACTGCGGCTCCAAGAGGGGGAAAGAAGGATGTGTGTGTGTGAGTGTGAGTGTGAGTGTGTGTGAGTGTGTGGACCACACACCCGCGATCATCTGAAACCACTCTCGGTGGCCATCCCTCCCCCAGGGCTGCTCCCCAGACTGAGAGCATAAGCGAACCCATGCAACATTCTTTGTAGCTTCAAAGGGCCTCATCACCCCCCTCTCCCTCCCTCCCCGCCCCGTGCTCTCCCTGCAGAGGTGAAAAGCCGAATGTAGAGGGGCGCAGAGGGCGCTGAATCTGGCAGGCGGGTGGGGCTGAGTCTTGCGGGTGCATAAGGCTGGACAAGCTGGGGGTGAGGCCACAAGCACAGGGCAAGATCAGCTGAGTCTTCCTGAGCACTGTCTTCCTCTGAAGGGGAAATGCAGCGGGAACCCACGCCAGCATGGGATCTTCACCAGCCCTGAGCACCAGGCCGGGAAGAGGAGGAGGACACAGGTTTCAATCAAGTCCGGGAATTGGAAATGATCGCTTCGTGCTGTGGCCCCGCCACACATCGGGCGGCCCTTGGCAATTGAGGCCTTGTTTGAACACATGCCGTCCTCAGAAGAAGGGGGCGGCCGCCAGAGACAGGCCCCCACCCGGTCCCCACCGGCCCTGCTCAGCCTCTTCTCCATGATTCACATGAGCTGGGGGCCAGGAACTAACCGGGAAGGGAATGGTTTTCCTTTCCAATTGCTGGGCTGTGCACAGCGCAGCCTTGGAAAGCGCTCTTCCTGCAGGGGAACGCGGCTCATCACCAGGTGGGGGCGGGGTTCGCCGGGCCGGGCCCAGCGGGAGACGGGAGGGAAACGCATGGCGGCTTTGGCTTTCGGGCACTCACCTGACCATGGTTCTCAGGAACCAGGGTCTGTGGATGATGGAGGGGACGGCCTCGTCCATCAGCGGGTGCGTCTTGATGAAGTTCAGGGTGTCATCCGGGAACTCGCTGGAGCTGGCGTATTTTTCTAAGGACGAGGAACCAGCACAGCAACCCGGCCTGGAACGGAAACGAACACCAGGAGGAAGAGGGAGGGAGTTTATGCCTTCTGGAAGATTCTTCTTGAATGAACTGCTTCCCTAAGCCCCTGGCAGAAAGGGGAATTTATCCGCCACGGGGCAGAGAAGAGGAAGGACGGGGGATGCTGACGTCTCCCCTGGCCACCCCCGCCTTGGCCCCTGCCACGCAGAAGCCCACGGGCCAGGTTTGCCCTCAGCCCAGGCCAGATCCACTTCTGCAAGACAACACAAAACGCAGAGTCCTGCTAGAGGCTCTCCAAGTCTCTCTGCGACATCAACCGTCGTCCAAGGGTAGAAAAAGAAGACCGCGCAACCATCGCACGGCCTGGGGCTCCAATATACAAACTGTTCCTTTCTAAGCGCTGTCTTTACTTTCGTGAGGTTTGGGGGCAGGTATGCAAGGCAGGCGATGTGGAGGGCTCTCTGCTGAGAGGTCATTTTCCTTAGAACAAACAGGAAGGAGAGTGGAAATGCACTGTAGGAGAAACCCCATGGCTTGGGGAGAAGGGTCATCTGCCCAAAGCCAGAAGGTGGGAAATGCCCAGCACCGGTGGCTCATGCTTTGCATCCTGGCTACTTAGGAGGCTGAGGTGGGGAGGATTGCAGCCGGAGGCCAGTCCTCATGGGAAGGTCCATCACAGCGGAGGATGCTGACCGAGGCGGCGCATGCCTGTAATCCCGGCTAGGTTGGGAAAGCCCAAAGAAGTTGGATTGCAGTCCAGGTGTAAGGTCAGGCAAAAAAAAGGTGAGGAATTCCCTCCCAAAGAACCAAATGCCAAAGGGAGCTGAAATTTCGGCTCCGCGGTCAAACGTGGGCCTGGTGAGGATAAAGCCTTGAGTTCCAGCTCTAGTAGCAGGAAAAATAAGAGTAATTAGCTGTGGTGATGGGTGGATTTGGATTCAGCTCTAGAGCCGTCTTGGCCTAAGGTCCAAGTTCTAAACTTGTGAGGATGCGGCTACCTGGGTGTCTTGTACAATGGGAGGGAGGGAGACACGGCAGAAATCATTTCACACGCTGCGTGAGTGTGCCCAGCGTCCTTTCCCTCTCCCTGCCTCAGTTTCCCCAACTCTAGACCAACGGCGCTGGCCATAGCAGATGACCGCCCTCAGTTTACCACCCTGGAGGCCCACGGGTTTGTGTCCCAAGCACGTACCTGGGTCTGGGGACTCGCTCATCGGGAACGGGCGTCCAGGTAGAGTCTGGGGACTTCTGCTCTTTGAATCTCCCGGTGAACACGTTGGCAATGTCCCCCATGTCATAGGCACAGACCGCCGAGCCGGGAATGCTGCAAAGAACACGGCACGGCGGTGGTCAGTGACCGGCAACCGCAGAACGCTCCCGGGACAGGAGGTCGGGAAGTTCAAAGTTCACACCCCGAGCGCACGGAGAAGAGGCTTCTCCCCACCAAATCTGCAGTAAGGGCCTTCAAGAACAGGCTAGCAATGGCAACCCATTTTATTTTATTTTATGTCCGTCATGGGGCTTGAACTGTGGGCCTGGGCACTGTCCCTCAGCTCTTCAGCTCAAGGCAAGCGCTCTACCGCTTGAGCCAGAGCGCCACTTCCGTTTTTCTGGTGGTTGATTGGAGAAGAGAGTCTCTCACGGGCTTTCTTGCCTGGGCTGGCTTTGAACCATGATCCTCAGATCTCAGCCTCCTAAGGAGCTGGGATGACAGGTGTGAGCCCCCGGCGCCCAGCTTTTTTATTTTTTTAATGCATTGTCTCTTCTTTGAATCTTGAAGGAAGTACTGTGTTGGTGATGGAAAGTTCAGGAATTCCCTGATGTGACTCCTATCCGAATTTTATATTTAAATATACTTCCTGTCCAGTTGCATAACGCTCAACGATGTAAGTCTCTCGAATCCCAACGCGTAGTAAAGAAAGGATTCCGTAAAGGGTTAGATAACAATAAGGGCACTTTTTTTTTTTTTTTCCAATCAATGGTTGAGAAAGCGTGAATTGTTCACTCATCTGTCTACATCTGCATCCATGTTTGTTCATGTCTATGCTGACCCTCCAGCTAGCCACGTGTTCTAACCAGGCTTGGAAAGAGGGGAGTACCACACTGTCGGGGTAACCGGGGGAAGAGATGGGTGCCTGCTTGCTGTGTGGTGCGTGGGTGTGAGTTCGTCAGTGTTGCAAGGAATTACTTCTTAAGTCATTAGGAGAAGTTTATGCCATCTTTTAATTCCCTAATGCAATTATTGGCGTATTACTAGCAAAGCAAGAGCCGGGGAGAGGATTAAAAAGCTTACTTAGAGAGAGGTTGTGGGAATGTTGACATCTACGCTATCTCTCGTTCGCAGAGCGAGCACACCAGACTTGGAATTCTCTGTACATCGTCCCTCTGGTGTGCCACAATTCACATCCTAACCTATTTTGTTGAAGCTTTTGACACACTCATTCTAGCTATTCAACTAGATAAATGCGGTCTGAGGAATCAAGGGTGCTCACAAAGTAACTAAAGACAGACAATTACTTTTCAACCTCTTCCCGAAGGATAGAATAACTTGTGAGGTCTTTCTTCCTTCCCTCTCTTCCTCCTATCCTTCCCTCTTTCCTTCCTTCCTCCCTACTTCGTGTTGTATTGATGTCATTCCCTAATCTACAGCAGTCAGGGGACCAGAAAGCAGAGTTCATTGAAGGGAAATGGTGTATTGCGAGAAGAGAGTCCATACAGAATATCCAACATTCCGACACAGGAATGAGAACACCATGCGTGCGTGTAGTTACATTTCACGCCCTCTAGGACCTGGAAATTGGCACTGGCTACACAGCAAGCGCGGTGCCAGGGAACGGTCCTCAAGCCTCATTCCCCTTCTGTTCTACGATGGCCACACGTTTTCACTGTCTTAGCTGCAGACAGACGCGGGGACAATCCGTACTTCATGGAGGACTCCAAAGTCACAGGCTCTGAAATTGGGATCTGGGCCACAGACCAACTCGCTTAATGAACTCACTTCAGGGTGACTTTCCCAAACACAGTGGTGTTCCAGCTCCACACTCTCTCTCTCTCTCTCTCTCTCTCTCTCTCTCTTTTGTCGGTCATGGGGCTTGAACTCTGGGCCTGGGCGCTGTCCCTCAGCTCTCCAGCTCAAGGCGAGCGCTCTACCACTTGAGCCACAGTGCCACTTCCAATTTTCTGGTGGTTCATTGGAGATCAGAGTCTCCTGGACTTTCCTGCCCAGGCTGGCTTTGATCCTTGATCCTCAGCCTCCTGAGTAGCTAGGATGACAGGTGTGAGCCGCTAGCACCCGGTCTGCTCCAATCTCTTCACAGGAGAGTCGACCGAGGTACCTGGGTCCTAAATGGCCTGCGTATCACGCTAATGAATTTTTAGTATTTTTCATTGCAAAGGTAGCAATCCCGTCATGGGAAGATCAGCTGTGTCACGCTGGGTAGAGAGGAGAAATAGGAGAAACACCCCCCCCCCCAATTTGAAACCTGCACCTTCCATATTGAATTCCTGAAGCAAGAAATGGAATTACCATCATCATTTCTGGTTCCATTTTCTCAAGTATAAAACGCATGCAACGCAGTAATAACACGCGAAGGGAATTTACGTACAGTCATCTAAATAGAAGATACGGTTTTTTTAAATAAATTATCTCCTCTTCCCCAGACTCCTAACTTCCTGGCATCCGTAAATTCGTCGTTCCCTGAGGCAAACAAAGCGTTCACTAGGGTACCTCTTAGCTGCACACACAATGGCCGTTTTCCATTCGTTGCAAACACGGTGCGTTAGAAGAGGAAGGGAGAAAGGGCGCCGGGGAAACACGATTCCAGCGGACACGGTCGGGGTTCCCGTTACCTGTTGTAAGGTGTGGAAAATGTGGCCAGCACAACGTCTCGGCCGTTGACGCGGATCACGTCGGTGACGGCTTGCAGGATGTTGAAATAGAAGTGCGAGTCGCCGGGCACGGAGCAGTTGAGCCGGGCCTTCAGGAAGGAGGTCCACTGCTTCTCCAGCACCCGCTGGGACCCCCCCATGTCGTTCTTGCACACCTGGGCCACCCTGGGAAACACGACCTGGAGGGGGGGGGAGGGCGGGAGAGAAACCCACGAGATGCCATCACTGTCCCGCCAGAAGCGAACAGACCCGGAGACCACAAGGTGCTTAATTTCATATTGCATTTCTGAAATCAGCAGCCAGAAAGAAAGAGAGTGGGATGGGGCGGGGGAAAAATAAGAGTATAAAACTCCACGTTGGAACAGCTTGTTTTAAAAGATAAGGCTGTGGCATTTAATACGGAGCCATAAATCCTTCCGGGGATCAGCTCCCAGACACATCAACTCATTTCCATACAGACTGCTTGGCTTTTTCTTTCTTCAAACAAAAGCGCACTCTGTATGCGCCACCTCTGCCTTCCTGCCCGGTTGCCTCTGGGGTCTGAGCCTCCGGCCTGCGGCGTGAGCTCCTCTCACCCTGCACGGCCACCCCGGCTTCTACCTCCCCTCCCACCTCCGCGACCCCATCGCTGAGGATCAGGGGGACAGGAACTGGCAGAGACAACCCGTAACCGTCCAACCGCGCCCTTTGTGGTGGTTGTTTTGCGATGAACGCCAAACAGAATGAAAACAAACAAACAAACAAGCGGACTCCTTTTGCTAAAGACACTAGGTGGAAGTCCCACTGGAGGATTATTCGGGATGCAGCAGAAAATCAGCAGACACCTGGCGGTTTGTAAAGATATTTGAGGGGTTCCCTGCAGTTTGCTACTGCTCTTGGTGAATGAGGGCAGAAGAAGAGAGCAATGGGGTGCAGAAAGTCTCGTGGACGCCTCCCTTCTGACTGCTGTTGGCCACATCATCCTCAGGCTGACCGGTCTCTTGCCAAGGTCATTACCCGCTGACAAGGTCACCGAGGGACCCGCAAGGCCCGCTGAGCCTCACCTTGCCCATGGTGTTGTATTCCACAGCGATTTCCCTGAAGAAGAAGTAGATATAGTTCCCGTAATCCACCGCCTGGACAAAGTATGGCTCTGTAAAGACACGCGTGCTTTAATGGAGGGAACTGTCGCAGGCCATCCGAAGGATCGAGCCCGGGTCCCCACCCTCACGCGACACTCCAAAGGCAGGCGCCGCACGGGACGCCACGCACGCCACCGCCTCGAACCTGCCATCACCTCCGCCATCCACGAGAAACGGACCATAAAGGGGGTCTCGAGAACCCCTGTGGTTTTCCTTTGCATACAAGGGAGGCCCGCCTTACAGAGGAATGGGTACCACTGCCCGGTCGTCCTGAACAGCTTCTCCCCTGTTTTCCCACCCCGTCCAGTCAAAGATTCCAGAAGCTCACAGAAAATGGGGGAGGGGGGAGCTAAGTCTACTGGGCCACAGGAGGCAGCTGACGTGGTTGTGTCTGGAAGGAACCACCGCCGAAGGGAATGGAGAATCTACAGTCCCTCCATCTCTGTGCCCGCCCCCAGTCCTTCCGACGGTTCACCTTTCAACCACTTGGAGTCGTGCTTGACGGTCCTCAGGGTGGGGCTGTCTCCCAGGCTGCGGTAGATGACCGCATCGATAGCCAGGAAGTCCGTCACCGTGGCCGAGTACAGTTTTCCATCTGGGGAGAGAAAGGAGAGGTGAAGGGTGGGTGTGCGCGGAAGGTCAGGGGTCTCGGGAAGGTCATGGCTGACGGGCCAAAATCCGAGCATCACCAGGAAAAGGTTCAGCCCCTGTTCCTCCCGGAGGCGAAACAGCTTTCATTTTTAAATTGCCTGGCCATTTTATTTCCCGTCTAAGAAGCAGCAGCAGCAGCAGCAGCGACTCAGGGAAAGGATAAATGAGAAGCGTCGTTTGTTTCTCTGGATCACACTGCTGGGAGACTGAACGGCCCTACAACTTTTTTTTTTTTAAACACCCCTCCCCCCCTTGCCATGAGCAAACAAATAACCAAATGTTCTAGAACAGCAGAATCTGTGTAGAGTAATTAGAAAGGATCATTATGTCCGCGGTAAAAATATTATTTCTTGATTCCCTTTTATTGATTATGCGTCTCCATAAATTTATGTCAAAGTGATTTATGAACAGCCCTGTTCGCTGAGCTCTTCCATACAAAGAACTGACAGGGTTTTTGTTGTTGTGGTGGTGGTGGTGATGGTGGTGGTTGTTTGTTCTAAAAACTCTTTATCCAAACTCACTTGAATGAACAGTGTTCTCCACCTCTGCTTTGGGTCTGAACTGATATGTTCTCAGATTCAACTCGGAACTCTCTCGATGATGATGATTGCTATTAATATCAGCGTGATTAAAATGCGTTACCCCTTGTTGGATGTGAACCACAGGCTATACACCTTTTGACTGACAAACACGCACCTAACAAACTGCAACTTTTTTTCTTTCTTTTGCTGCCAGTACTTCAGGTCTCACGCCCTCTCACTCAGCTTCCTAGCTCAAGAATGGCGCTCTACCACTTGAGTCATGCCTCCCGTCTGGCATTTCGCTGGGTAGTGGGACTTGGGAGTAGCACAGACTTTTCTGCCCAGGCTGGCTTTGAACCATAATCTTTCAGGCCTCAGCTTCCTGAGTAGTTGGGACGACAGGTGGGAGCCGTCAGGCCGAATCACGACTTTTAATTTTTTTAATGGGATATAGAGGCTCTATTCTTCCAGCTCCAGAGCCCAGCATTGCGGCTCCCTCTCCCTTTCCTACCTTGTCTGTCCTCCGGTCAGTTTATGGCTTCCTTGAACCACACCCCGGCTGAATTCCTCCAAGTTCCCAACCAGCGCTGGCTCCCAGAGCCGGTGACGGGGAGGCTGCCCTTCCCGCCGGCCTGGCTCCCTTCCAGCAACACTGAGCCTCTCTCTTCGGGGGGCGGAACTCCCCCAAACCTTCCTCTCCCTCCATCCTGCCACAGCACAGGGGACCCACAAATGGGTGGCTCTGGGGCCCTGGGCGCCGAAGTGCTCATGGGGCCGGGGGTGGCAGGTTTGTCTCGGCTGTGATGGAAATTACAGCTGAGGGCTTGTGAAGACACTCATTATCAGGCCCACACCCCACACGCTCACACACACCCCTGCACAGACACACAGCTGGCCACGGATGAAGTCCTGCTTAACATGCCGGTGCGCACCACGACCGAGCTAAATCCTAAAGCAATTTGTTTTTCGTGCAAGCTCTGTCTTGATGAATCTTTTGCTGCGGAAGGAGGGAGAGTGGGGGGCACGTGTGGGTCCCCCTACCAAACAGCATCTCGCATGTGGCGCACCCGCGCCCTGGCGAGCCACACGCAGGTCACCTCAGGTCACACATCCAAGAAGATGCGTGCCGGGAGCTGTAGGCCTGGACCTCACTGCTTCTGGAAGCTTCCACCTGCTTCCCGCCCTTCCCTCTGTCGAGGAAGAGGTGGATTCGGTCGCTGCCTGTTCACTGCGGTCCCCTGACCCTTCCCTCCGGGCACAGAAGCTGGGCCAAGTGTGGCACGGGCTTCCCTTCACCAGCAGGGGTGAGTTGCGTGGGAAGGGCATTCTTAACCAGAGCGCTCACCAGAGACGTCGTTATGCACAACCGCCGCTCCGGAAAACCCAAGCCGGGCAACCAGGCCGATTACCTGCAAACAGTGCGATGTTGGCGTGTTTGGCGTCATACGGGCATCTGGCCATCCCACTGAACTCATCCCCCGACGGTTCCAGAGTGTCGATCTGTGTGGGAGAACGGGACGTGAGTGCAAACCAGCACCGTCGGACGGCCCTTGTCGAGTGCTTACAAACGGCGATCCTCAGGGGTCCCGTCTAAGTAACAGCCCCAGGGTGGGGGGAGAAACAGAGGCTCCAAGAGATGAAAGGGACTGTTTCTGAAATTCAGTCCTATCTGCTTGAGGCTCGGCCGGGGTATAAACAGAGTCGGGGTTCAGATGAAATGGTCTCAAAATAATCACTGAAATCTGAGCAAGTTCAGCAGCCGGGAACCACCCGTCCCCATCTCTATAGCAAACTCTACGGCAAATCATCTTCCTGTCTGGATTGGTTTGGCCTGACCAGTCCTACTGGAAGGTTCTGGAACTTTTCCTCAGGTTAGCTGGCAGATTCGTGTGACATCAGCAAAGTGGGAGGAAAAAAGCAAAAACTATCTTGGGGTGGAAGGGCATTTTACCTGGAAGGTTTTTTTTGGGAGGGGGGCACAGATTTTGAGGACAGACAGAAGGTAACTGCCTCACACAGTACTGGAGACCCACCACCAGCCCCGAATCCAGGTGCTTGACAAGGTAGACATTTGGGAGAGACTCAAGCTGCTATTAAACACTCTCCAATCAATTGTGCCATCCGCCCCACACTTCAGGGCTGTGACAGACCTTTCCCCGGTCTAGCCCCAGCTGGACACACTCTCCGCTGTAACTCTCCAGTCCAGGATCACACAAGAGCTGCGTTTGAAATGTGATTGTGGTTTTAAGAGATGGGTAGCTAGGTGCCGGTGGCTCACGGCTGTCATTCTAGCTACTCAGGAGGCTGAGATCTGAGGATCACGGTTCAAAGCCTGGGCAGAAAGGTCCATGAGACTCTGATGATCAACTCTCCAGTTAACCAGCAAAAAGCTGGACATGGAGCTGTGGATCAAGTGGGAGAGCACTAGCCTTGAGTTAAAAAAAGGAAAAAAAAAAGCTCAGGGACAGTGCCAGGCCCTGAACTTAAACCCCAGGACTGGCACAAGCGGGGGGGCACATTATTCACCAAAGTTGTTTCCAGAAGCTACTTCCCTACCGAGAATTTGCTGTTGAGCTGGGATGCTGTCATTTTTTTTTTTTCCTTAAGTCTTGGATCCTGATCTGTCAATAAAAAGCACTAAAGAGGCCTGGAGGCGTGGCTCAGTTGGTAGAACGCCAGCCAGCCAATGATTGAAAGCTTTAGGTTCCAGCCAGCCAATGAGTGAAAGCCTTAGGTTCCAGCCAGCCAATGAGTAAAAGCTTTAGGTTCCAGCCAGCCAATGAGTGAAAGCCTTAGGTTCCAGCCAGCCAATGAGTGAAAGCCTTAGGTTCCAGCCAGCCAATGAGTAAAAGCCTTAGGTTCCAGCCAGCCAATGAGTAAAAGCCTTAGGTTCCAGCCAGCCAATGAGTAAAAGCTTTAGGTTCCAGCCATCCAATGAGTGAAAGCCTTAGGTTCCAGCCAGCCAATGAGTAAA